TCATACAGATAACCAGATAAACCGGATAACCTAGGATATCATAAGGTCAGATACGCTAATTAAATGTAGCGCTCAAGGGTACCTTTAGCAATGTTGGTCACTGGAACGTTCCAGTGGGAATTACTGTAACTGGAAGATCGCTAGACTTAACTGGATGAAATTGGAAGCATAATAGTTGCCAGTGATCGAATGTTACTGAACCGTTCCAGTGAAGTTTCAGTGATGTCCGGTGACTTCCAGTGATTTCTTGTTAGCACTTTGTAGACAATCACTTGACAGATAACTTAATTCACAGGCACTATTATTTTACGGATTATTAATTTGTAAAAAAAAACTTGCCTTTAGTGTGTGTTGCCGGTAAAATAAGTAATCATAATGAGCTGTCAGTGGAATACTTGTCTGTAAATTAATTGTCTGTGAAATAAATTGTCTACAAATTAACTGTTAGTGAAATAATTTGATCCTTTATTTGATTGAATTGATTGGCCACTATATGAATGTTTCAGTGGGAAAAACATAAAATTCCAGTGCCAACACTAATTCTTTAGTAAATTCAGGATGTAATCCATCACATATTTGAATACCCAATCACAGGTTGAATGAATAAGTAACGGGTAAATGGCAAGATACAAAAAACTCCCGATATGCACCCTATATACTACTATAGATTCGCCAAATAACTGTAGCATATTAGTAGTATCGGGTAACTAATGGTAAGATATAGGCATGGGTATATATAGTGTTTCGATCCTTAATTCGACCATCTGAATTGATCCTTAAATCTAGATAAATTTAAATATCCAGATCAGAGATTTTTATTCGGATTTGTCAAAGAACTTAAATAACGGACATAAGGGTGTCTCAAAGCTAGCTTTATATCTAATCTGACACAGATTCAATCCGGATTTAATAGAATCCGGATGGCCTGTCAAAGATAGGATCGGAACACTAGGTATATATAAGGGTGCAGTTTCAGTTTATGAAAGGAACATCAGTTGTTGATAGTATTTAGTATGATTGTGATAATCTGATGTATGATTTATGTTAATAAAGAGAAACCTTATAACCCGTAATTATGTGTGTTAGTTTATCGATTTAAACCATTTTCCTTAATCACTATTTGTTCACGATCGAAGCTAAATTGGTTCAAGACCCTATAAAGCTTTCCCAATCGTAACACCGGGTTGCCTACCCGCAGGGTTGTTAATGGAGCACTCCAGACTATAATAAAAACATATAACTCACCTCTGGAGTGCTCCGGAGTAGGTTATATGTTTTATTACTGTCTGAAGCACTCCATTAACAACCCTACCTACCCATTTAAAACTCATACTAATTAATAAATGATTTTATACCTACAAGCTGAATGTAATAATGGTAAATAAGCATTTATGATCTTGGCTTGTGAACCAAATTAACGCGAATGAAATGAACTTATAATCTTGGTTTGTGAATTTTGGCTTGCTGACCAACTCATTACGATATTAATAAATAAAAGATAAATAACGGAATACAAAATTTCCGCCTATATTCTATCGTAGATCTGCCAAATAACTGTAGCATATTAGTAGACTAATGGTAAGATATAGGCATGGGGCAAAGTATTAGTGACATATCAGCAATCCCAATATCTTACTCATATATCTAAGAGTAAAATTGATACTTTACCACTATATATATTAAATCCTTATGGGGTTTCAATCCCTCGCTTGGGGTTTTAATCCCTCGTTGGAGATTTTAATCACCCAATTATGCCACAAAATAAGAAATACATGAAAAATTTGACCATAACACCGGATCTTATCTCTAACTGCGGGTATCGTGGATACCTGCAGATATCCGCAGATATCCGTTAGGTTATCCTTTTGGAAACTGGCGGATAAGAGTTCTTATCCGTGAGACATTTATAGCATCCAGATATGCGATTAACTGTACGGATATCCGGATATGCGGTTGACGGGTCCAAACTCTAGGACCGAGTTCTGATAAAAATTCGACTTTTTGAGTCAAGTCAGGTCGGGCTGGAATTTTAGCATGTTTATGTACAATTTCTGTAGCAACAACAAAAAAAAAACAGATAGTGATATGCTCATTTTAACAATCAATTTAACGTTAACAATTTGTTCAGTTTAAATCAGAATCTAACAAAACATATCGATGTTATATGCGTGCAAAAAAAAATAAAAAAATTAATTTACAAGCAAATTGTTACTCAACTAGATGAACTTTTTTATAAATTTCAGAATTTGTCAAAGTTACTGTTGCTACGTATTATTTAAAAATTTGCGATTGGATAAGCTTAACCAATTGTCCGCAGAATATATCATACTAATTGTATGAAAAGTCTAATATAAATAGTAATTATAAATTTTAATTATTCAACATTAAATAACAACAAAATATATAAATAAATAATTAAATAAAACATGGTTCAAATCAAAAAATACATATTTTGCAGGTATAAAAAAATTCAATCGTCATCAATAGAAAATCGTTTGCTATGACGATTATTTAATAAACCTTCGTCTGCTTGGTCGGGTGATTTAATAACTATTATTGTTAAAGTTATTGTTAAATTAAATATTAGATAGAATACATCACGAATATTGTAAAATATTGTAATATCAAACATACGGATTTCTTTTAGTCCACTATTGAAATTGCCGAATACAAATATTGACCACACTAATGTCGTCTAAATAAACAAGACGACAATTAATAAAAATATTGCAATCTTAAATGAGATCAATAATTTACTTACGGCAGCCATAATGATTCCAATAATTACTATTAGAAACATAAAGCATTAATTAACATGAAATCATTTCACTTAAAACAATAAAGATCAAGTAATCCGCTTACCAAATATGATAAAGAAATACCAACTACCAGTCGCGTCTCCAATCGAAAAAAATAAAAGAATTGTAAAATCTAAAATGCAAATAGCAAGTATGGAAAAAACAAAGTACATCCCAACTCTCAACTCTCTTCGCGCCTAAATTATTATGAGAAAAAAATCTATGATCGAAGAAACTAAACAGTAAGTTTTTTAAGAATGTCTAAAAACGACTTACCGAATAATATGCTAATATTTGATTTATACCGATACAAACAGTGACAATGAGATGAAATATATAAAACTGTTCAGGCATATATCTTAGATGTTTTAGATCACTTAGTTTACCCATTGTATATACATATACATTTAATGCCTCAACGGAAAGACCAAGAATGAACATTGCATCAAGTTTTAGTAACAAGATATAAATTAAATATGTTCTATAATTAGCTATAATATTTTCGGATAATAAACACGTTGAAAAAATAAATAAATAAATGAATGAATAACAAGAACTTCATACATTAAACGTTATAAGTGTAAACTATACTTTGCATGTTTACATCGGCTCCAATTCTTTTATAAATATTCCAACCATATTGCCGATATAACTTCCAGCATAAAAATGCCATGGCAATTGAAAATGCAAATAACGCAATTATCAAAGGCATATCATATTTCACAAATTGTGTATGTAAAGGTAACCTTCCCGGACAGTCTTCTTCGAAATCTATAAACCATTTCTTGACTTCTACCCATTGAATCTATCAAGATAGACCAAATATAAGAATTCATATTTTTCGTCGTTATTAGATAGAATTGTTAATGAATCACTATTGCTAAGTAACTTTTAAGAATACTCTAGAGTATCTATTAAAAATCACATAATGGGAGTGCACCATTAACAACCCTATATGATATATGTGCGAATTTAAATTACATAAAAAGCAATAAAACGTAAAACTTACAATCCCATTAAGTGCAAAAAGGAAATTGAGAACAACAATTGCTATTACTTGCATTGAATTTTGGTTATACATCTTTGATAAAATGGGATTATAAATAATAACAATATTTGTGATCATAAAAAGCATAAAGATAAACCGATAATATATTTACCGCACTAAAGCAAAACCACACTTGAAAAATTTGGAAGAAGATGAAAGCAAGGTTTTCATCTTTAATATTATTTAATCTCACATACGAAGGTTGGTATGTACATGTAGCATTGGCAACCATTACATCAGATATATTCCCTACAGTATTCAAACTATTTTCAGTAGAATTATTACGTGCATATACTCTAAGTTCCAGAATAATGATTGCAATGGCCTGCAAGATAGAAGTAAGCATAAATAGTTTTGTCCATTTTGATTCGTTTAGGCGAACCAACTAGTGACAAGTGGCAACGGTGTGAAAAAAAGTAAACAAAAATAAATTTTGAAATATTTAAGGTGGCTGATAAAAAAAAATATATTAAAGGATTAGCATATTACATACCACCTTTTCGCTCCACCTTTTATAATATTCTAACTTCAAAAATTCAACCATCTTGTAAAATCAGAAATTTATTTATTTATTCAAATATAATCAGGCGAAATTTTCGGTTCTCTTCTAAAGAATTTTCTAATAAATGAGTTCTTCTTAATATATCTTAGTGGCTGTGTTATTATATTTCATTAGAAGCCTCAAAGATTGTTCGGGAGAATATAAATTGCAAAGATCTGAAAGCCGCATTGCTTTGATGATCCAGTTCTATCTTAACATCTTAAAAATTTTCGTGTTTAACGTGCAACGCCACGTCTTCTTTCTTGCATTTCCGTAGACACCTTTAAGTCGAATTTATTTGATCTAAATAAAAATAACAGTCTATTCATGTTAGGCTTATCTTTTAATTTTATGAATTAAAAAGGAATCTTTGCAACGTACTCAGAGCATTGTAGCACTGTAATACTTTTAACCACAATCCAGGTACGTACGTACGTACGTATATTGTTAATTGATGAATGAGTTTAACAATTAAAAAAAAAAAAAAAAAGCATCGTACCTAATTATATTCATTTTTCATATAAGCTTTCATTATAGCAAATGTTAAATTCTATATATTTTAATAATGTATAAAAATATGACTTGCAGGTTTCTGATTTATTTAAAAATATATAGTATGTTTTTTAATAATACATAACAACGGTGGAAATGTCGTCTAATAGAATTTCTTTTTTATTAAACAAATACGGTATACGTTTTTTTTTCATTCAGCACAGAAACGTTAATCTGTGCTTTTATTACTAATCAGCGATAAAAAGATTAATTTATTGCGTCTGGGAGGACGATGCACAGTAGTATATACGCGGATTTTTAAAAAATTTTAAGAATTGTTCACGCTTTTATACATTTCAGCTACTAAGAAATAGAACCTGCTAGAGGCTTTGTGTTATCATGTCAGCCTCCATCAAACATTCACATAGCTTTACCAAAACAATATCGAAACAATCGAAACAAACTACAAACTTAACCATATTATTGTTCAAAGGAGTAATAATATAAAGAGTCACACTAATGCAGCGAGCCTTTACGGGTTGAGCGATGTTAGAGTAGAAAAAAAATAACTCACATCTCATCTATTTTAATACACTAATAAAATGGGAGGTTGAATATATTGAAAGTAGAAGATATTATACTCTTATTGGTGCAGTATTTGTACCAGATTAATTGTAGCAACCTCTCATTTTGAAATAACAAATAAATGTTTTATATAAGGTTACACAATTATACATGGAAAATATTTTATTTGGATTTTGGCGACATTGCCTAAAGCTAAGCAACTATTAACAAGTCATGATCTGAATCTTATATGATACTATACTATTACACATAGGCTTACTTATACAGTATAAATCTTTTTTTTTTCTACCGTATATATATTTTTTACTTAACTACTGTATGTCACAGAGTTTTATATTTGATAATGACTTCTATTTGATTACAACTATTTTTTTTATTCTAACTTGAACCATAGATTTAGGCTATAAAAAGTTAGAATTCTTAAGCAGCACACTCGATGTGATTAGCTAGTAGTGATCGAGATAGTATTCAACCATTATGGCGTTGTTAATTAGACCATTTTTGAGAACAGATGGTATGGATTTATTTTGATTGAAATATGTTCATGTATCTTCCTCAATGTGATTAATTTATGATCGTGTTGGTGCTCAAGTATTACGATTAATTAAAATATTGATTGCAATTGAAGCTTGAGCATAAATCTTTTTCATTATCACCAATTAGCGATTATTGTTCTTACAAATCGAAATAAAATAATAATAATAATCAACGAAGGACAACCCAATCTACAGCATTTCCAAATTCTGTTTCTTCTTTTCAGGATTTACTACAACCAACAGAACACAAAAACGTGCCTTTTTTATTTGCAGCGAAAATTTTTAGCATAAAGTAGTAAGGTAATAATTCGTAATGATTTTGAAGATCATAACAATAATGATAATGTAAAAAGAGAAGTACTTGGACAATTTTTTTTTTCTAATCAATAAAAATTTCGACCAATAGGCGCAACTCTATAATAAAAAAAAGTCATTTGAGCCTCTATCTCTTGTTTATTGGAATGATAAATACCCTTACTCGGTAAACGAACTTCTGCTAATAAAATCTTTCTTTCTGACTTATTACAGCTGATTTGAAAATTAGTGGGACACTTGAAAATTTCGCTTGTTTCCCGAAACTTTTCAGATTCGTCTTATGAACATCTAACTCTTCGGAACCTCAATTGTGATGTGATTTCCGAAGAGTTGGATGATTCGTAAAGACGAATCCGAAAGATTTCGGGAAACAAACAAAATTTTCAAGTGTCCCACTAATTTTCAAATCAGCTGTAAACTTTCATTGGAATTACAGCTGTTTTCATAAATTCTGGGACACCCTAAAAAAATTTGCCGAAGTCTATTCGGCCGAATTCGATAAGTTATTGATTTCGGTTTGATTAGTGCGTATATAAAAAATTATTGAGTTACTATTGCAGCACATTGTT